TTCTCTCTCTCTCTCTCTCTCTCTCTCTCTCTCTCTCTTACCATCTTCCCCATGATTGTATGCTGCAGTTTTTGTAAGAATAAGACAATTTGTCAAAAGGACAGCCAATTAAAGAAAAACAGTACTTTTAAGTTCATACCATAAGAGAGCAAAGTACAGTTAACATCAGTGTTTTATGGGGAGGGAGATTGTTGTTATTCAGGTAAAGGGATCGCCAAATGGGCTTGATTTTGAACATCGTCTGTGCAAGAACTTAGCAATACGTAAAGACATTTATTGCAATTTTGCAGATTCAAGAGGAGGCTATTATCTCCAATAGTGCAATGTTGTAATCCTTTTAGGGGTGTTATGTTATTACTATTTTGTGGTTGTTGCTTGGAGGGGGGGGGGTATATCTGAAGCAAGGTACAATATCAAACTTTACCATTAAGCGGATTTTCAGACCTACATGCAAGCAACAACACGAATGATAACAGCACAGCTGAAGAGGATGCTTTTCAATTTTAGAAAAAGTTTTCCGCACTTGCAACACAATTATGTCATATAAGTGCTGAAGATTAGCAGTGTTACAAGACAGTAAAAAACGCAAAAAGGAAGGAGGGATAAGGACAATAGATATTTGATACAAGTAGGAAAGAATGTGCAAACTACACCAGAGCGCCCGCCAATCACCCACACTCACTTTTCATGGACATCACCAATGAACAATATCTCACAAGTCTACATAACACTTTTGTAAAAGAATAGATAGATAGATAGATAGATAGATAGATAGATAGATAGATAGATAGATAGATAGATAGATAGATAGATAGATAGATAGAGCTGTGCTTTTCTTACACAAACAAAAAACCTAAAAATTATCAAGCTCACTGACAGACAAAAAGACAGACAGACAGACGACAGACTGACAGACAGACAGATAGACAGACCGAAGCAAAAACAAAAAAAAACTGAGGGTCCGTGTCTGAAGTCGCAGACCAAGTCTTAGTGCGATAGCAGAGCAAGGGAAATAATCAAGAGTATCTCGCTTCGACCCCATGACCTCGACCTGTTTACATCTGGAGAAGAGCAGGTAAAAAACAGGTGTGTCCGTTTGCTGTCTTTCTAAAGTATGTGAACGTTATTATTCATCATATTATATTCCTGTAAAACACAGTTTAAGCACCAATCCAGTTGTTTACCAACCAAACCAGGAAGCAAAAGTTCAAGGTTCGAAGCCTCGAAAGGTCTAATATAGTTTCTTGCCTTGTTCGTTGCAATTGTAGACTACGAAGTTTTCATCAGATTTCCCTTTTTGGAAACGGGGGAGGGGGGTAGGGGTGCTGTCAAAGTTCAAGACGGAGATAAACAATCAGTAATAAATATCTCCTTGTGAATAATGAAATTCATTTTAATCTTATCGGAGGCTACACTGTACAAGTGGAAAGTGAGCTCAGATTACAGATTAAAAAATAATGCTAGGAAGTCTATGATAAGGGTTTTAAGGGACAGCCACTGGTGGGAAGACATGGGGACCCCACAAAAACAAGGCACTGTACTGTAGTCTGTAGCAACCAACAACAACGTGTTTGTAGAAAGGTTGTATTGATGTCGCCTTCGTGTACTGTGAGACTGTGAAAGGTAACTTTAGAGTTATGCATGTCCATCACTTTTTTTTTTCTTGCTATTATAACCAACCTTTGCCCGTAGTAGTTGTTTACTGTTTGTCTTACTCTATGACGTTACCTTTTTTTGAACTACTCATTTCATAGTGATTATTGTATATCTTTTAAAGAATCCTTGCAAGCTGTATTCATTTTTTAGCCTGTAAATATACTTCCTGTTTAAGGCTTTTTAAAACGCTCGAAATAACAAAGTACTCGACAACAACAGTAGTTAATTAAACGTGATTGGTTATAATGGTTTACATCCACTTCTACACAATATGTTGTGTGTTGTACGAAATTTGATGTTTGGCACGTGTAATTCAGGGCCAGCCCTAGCACATTAATGGATAACTTGCATGTAACGAGTGAGAAAGCGCCTGACAATTACACCAAAGACACCGCTGCTTAATGGCTGTCGTTTGTAATTGGAGAACGCACATTAGTCCTAGCACAAAAAAACAGGCTACGATGCAGTGACTATAATAGTATGGCTTTGTTTGGATTTATTTGTTACATTTTATGAGATCTGTATGGTTTTTCTACTAAATGCCACCCACTTCGGAAAGAAGATTTCCTCAAAAGAAGCATAGAGTGGCTCTGTGTTTTCACTTCTTTTGAGCAGGGGTGTCAAATTCAAACCTCCCTGAATGTTGCGAACCAAACGGAAAAACACTCACTGAGCAGAAGGAAAACTTAACTTAAAAGAAAAACAAATACATGAATTAGAAACCAAAAATAGTTAAACTAATGATGAACCAAGATTAATCAATTTTCGCTGATATGGTAACTTGTCTGGAGTAAGATTCTGTATTATGGTGATTCTCAGGATGGACTACCCAAAATCACCCCCACTACTACCACTACAACAACGGCTGCTGCTGCAACAATAACAACATACGCATCTAGGAAAAGGAACATAGATTTCAATTTGGGATCTTCTAAAGCACAGGTGCCAAATCGAGGGCTGCAGGTCACACGAGGCTCTGCGAACAATATATCCGGCCGGCGAGAGGTTTTTGCTGTTGTTGTAGTTAAAGAGCAGTGGTCTACAAAACATATTACAGTTTATTTCGAACGCTGGGCACTTCGTCTTCCATTCAGGACATCTCTTGACATATCAGGTTCGTAATCTAGTGTGGTCCATCAGTTTGAGTGCATGCTCTCTCCCCGTCAGACATCAAGCTAGGAAAGTGGTCACCTTAGTTTCAAGAGGTTTCCAAGCAATCCCAGCGAACTTGGTAACCACACCCAAAGGGAGAGAGGGAGAGAGTCTCCAAGTCCCCCACCAAAAAACTCTACAGATAAGATACGGAGAGCTGCCAACCCCTTCTCCCTTCACTTTCCGCACGAGATGATGATGATAAAAATGCAACTTGTCATTCCGTCATTATCAGTATCTGAATGAATCACTCAGCTATTGGTACGCGTGCGATAAAAAGGGGCATACACATAAATCAGTGTTCCCTAAAGTTTGGTTTCTCGGGCATAGAGATCTTTGATAATTACATTATATCTCGAGATTTTCCTGACTTAGAGGACAGATATGACACGTTAAAGTCTCAGATAAAAGCCGTTGTTCGGGCAGCTCTTGGGGCGATTATTAAAGTACACATTTCACTTTCCTAATACCTTCAAATTTCATTTGGTACTCAGGGTGATAAGGTTGAGGTGATCGATGGCGGATGTTAATAAAACTTTATAATAGACAACTCGGCTATTAACGAGAAACTGAAGGACTTCGGCGAAATTAGACGCGTTGCCAGAGCGTGCAGGAACACCGAAGAGCATTTTATCAAAGTCGAAATAATGAATTTATAAAAGGATGGTGAAATTGAACGCTGCACTAGACACAATTAGGCTTGTGTGACAGTGGAGTTTTGGACCTTCTGCCTCTTTTGGACTTTCCCCCTCGTCATGAAACCCTGCTAAGAAAACATTTCAAAGAACGAGTACCAATAAAATTTGGACAATTCGGATCCGAGCCTGAAATATCCACACAACACAGCCCACTAAGTTCATAACCTATTGTGCCACAGTGTCAAGCTTCATAAAAATGCCATGTAAAAAAAGGTTGCTTAAAAAAGACAGTTGTCAAGTTGTCAGAATCAATTTCAAGCGAATTTTCACTCAAATTCATCGTAAATTCATTGGCAATTCATTGACGACCATTTCAATTAGCCATAATCATTAGCAGGTGGGACATAGACCATTACAGTCTTCCAATAACCAGGTACTCATTTTCCATCAGGACGACCTGCGGCAATAAATTATGTATCACTCACTAGGGCATAAAATCCTTTCCAGTTCAACTGGAAAAAAGGGAGATTGTAGAATAGAAATAAACAGAAAAAGGGAAAGTGGCGTGTTATGGGTCAATGCCT